CAACATTAACACCCCTCCTTCAGAGTGCAGGCACTGTACTTCCCATCTCCAGGACTCAAGTCCGGCCTGCCGGTTTCCCTGAATCCCTTCATAAATGTTACTTTGCTCACACTCCACAGCACGTCAAGTATTAAAAAACCATTTGTCTCCATTCACTCCTATCAAACACGCTCACGCATGCCCACTGGAAGTCCAAGCCCCTCGCACACAAAACCTCCTTTGCCCCCTCCCTCCAACCTTTCCTAGGCCGACCCCTACCCCGCCTTCCTTCCACTACAGACTGATACACTCTTGAAGTCACTCTGTTTCACTCCATTCTCTCTACATGTCCGAACCACCTCAACAACCCTTCCTCACCCTCTGGACAACAGTTTTGGTAATCCCGCACATCCTCCTAACTTCCAAACTACAAATTCTTTGCATTATATTCACACCACACATTCCCCCTCAGACATGACATCTCCACTGCCTCCAGCCTTCTCCTTGCTGCAACATTTCATCACCCATGCTTCACACCATATAAGAGCGTTGGTTAAACATACTCTCATACATTCCCCTCTTTGCCTCCAAGGACAAAGTTCTTTGCCTCCACAGACTCCTAAGTGCACCACTCCACCTTTTCCCCTCATCAATTCTATGATTCACCTCATCTTTCCCTAGACCCATCCGCTGACACGTCCACTCCAAATATCTGAATTTCATTCACCTCCTCCATACTCTCTCCCTCCAATCTGATATCCAATCTTTCATCACCTAATCTTTTTGTTATCCTCATTAAACCTACTCTTTCCTGTATTCCCCTTTTAATTTTCTTCTTTTGAACACCCTATCAAATTCATCCACCAATCTCTGCAACTTCTCTTCAAATCTCCCAAGAGCACAGTGTCATCAGCAAAGAGAACTGTGACAACTCCCACTTTATGTGCATTCTTTATCTTTTAACTCCACACCTCTTGCCAAGACCCTCGCATTTACTTCTCTTACAACCCCACTATAAATTTTAAAACAACACGGTGACATCACACCCCTTGTCTAAGGCCTATTTTTACTGGGAAATAATTTCCCCTCTTTCCTACATCCTAATTTGACCTCACTACCCTTAAAAACTTTCATCTTCATACCCCCTCCTACCCCATACATCTGCCACATTGCCCCCATCCAACCCTGCATAGCCTTTTCCCCAAATCCAAAAATCCACAAAGACCTCTTTGCCTTATTAAATATGCACTTTATTTTAAAATGAAAACCACCGGTCCCACCCCCCCCTCCCCTTTCCTAAAGCCCCTTTTTCATCTGCTATCCTATTCCCGTCTTATTTTAATTCTTTCAATAATAATCTCCCATAACTTTACCAGGTATACTCAAAAACTTTCCCCTAAATTTTTGCACTCTCTTTTGTCCCTTTGCCTTTATAAAAAGGGAAAACTATGCATGCTCCCCCCCAATCCCTAGGTACCTTCCCCCTCTTCCAAAAATTTTTAAAAAATAGAAACCAACCCCCCCAAAAACTGATCCCCCCCGCTTTTAACATTTCAAATCTTTACCCCCATCAACCCCAGCTGCCTTCCCCCCTTTCATTTTACCTACTGCCTAGAATTTCCCTCCAAACCCCAACTGGCTTTCCTCCCCTAAAAAAGTTATTCCCCTTCCCCTATACACAAAATCACAGCTTCCCTATCTTCACAACATTTAACAATTCCTAAAATATTCCCTCCATCTTCCCAATACCTTAACTCTCCTTTTTAATAATTTCCCCCTCCCCTATTTTTAACTGAAAAATCCATTTTTTTCTCTGGGCTTCCTTAACTTGTTATCTCACCCCAAAACTTTTTCTTATTTTCAACAAAATTTGTTAATAACACTCCCCACTCTTTTCATTTGCTCTCTTTTTACTTGCTTCCCCCACTCTTTAATCTTGTCCCCCAGGATGAAACCCACACCATCGACTAAACCCCCCAGTGAAAGGGAAAATGCCTGGAAATAGTGCTCATATTGGTAATTTAGAGACAAAGGGTTTGGGTTTTGAGAGATTTAAGAATCGTGTGACATACACAGTGTGAAAGGCCTGTTCGGAAGAAAATCCCAAACGGGCCTCAGTATTGGAGGAAAAGGCCCCCCGGACACAGTGTCCATCAGCAATTTGCTGCTTTTCAAAAAAGGTAAGGTCATTTATTTTCATTTAGTAGAGTAGTACATGAAATAATATTGGGCATGTACTACTCTACTTTTGTGCATGTACCCTTCTCTTTTTTGTTGGAAAAGTAAAATTCATGGGGAAAAATTTTTTTTTCAAATTTTTGGGTGTCTTAGGGTTTAATTTGATTTCCATTATTTTTTGGGGGGAAAATTTCATTCACATAGCAACTTTTCGCAAAAACAGCCACCCTCTTGCAGGGATTAAGGTGCTTGGGGGGGGGTCCACTGTATTGACGTGCTTTTGGGGAGTTGAGCAAAGTAACATTATAAAGGGGGTTCAGGGAAACCGGCGGGCCGGATTTTGAGGCCTGGAGATGGGAAGTACGTGCCTGCACTTAAAAGGAGGGGTGTTAATTTGATTAAAAAAACTGAAGTGAAAAGCACCCTTCTGGAAGACAGTGGGAGTGAATGATGGTAAAAGTTTTTTTTTTTTTTTGGGCCACCCTCCTTGGGGAAATTGGCCAGGTGTAATAAAAAAAAATAAAAATGTTATGATTGGGTGCGGGGCATTTGCGAATATTTAAGCTTTTGAAAGTGGAGGGCTAGCGTTTGGTTAATATAATATTATACCAATTAAGAAAGCCCAATGTGTTCTAATTGAAGACTTCTCTATAATGAATATTTAGACAATCCCAAAAGTTCTAAAGGTGTTTGTAAGTCAAGGATTTATGTACATGATTTGCAGAAAAAAGTATTATTATTATTATTTTATTATTTATCATGCAAAAAAATTTTAAAAACCAAAACACGCCCATTTTTTATTTCAACACCAACATGACAAAAGTTTAGAATTACAAAAGAGAAAATCACTGTTAAAGGCACGGAAGGTGCCCCTTGACTTACGAGGGATTATTTCTAACAACGCATCGTAATTTTAAAATACATGGAGAATAAAATTGATTGCTAAATAAATAAAATAATTAATAATACTGTCATTCAATCAGTAAAAAACAAATATTTCCCTTTAAATAACTAAATACAGCCTTCCTCACTTTGTGACGTACTCCCTTTTCCGAGCCTCGACTTACAATGGGGTCCTTTACCGTATTTATACCTAAAAAAATGTATATTTGAGCTGATTTCCTCCTTTCTGTTTATTACAAAATACAGTCCCCTGCGTATTGGTTGACACAAACCCACTACCCTTTAATATGTCCTCACTTTTCGACGAATTCGTTTTAAAAACGTGGTCTCATGAAAGGGAACCCCCGTTAAGTGAGGAGAGGGTGTACCCTATTTAAAAAATAAATGAATGAATACAAGTTACTTAATGTTGGGTAAATTTTCTTAATTTCATCTCCCAAGGAAAATTGTGCTACACCATTAAGTCGAACTCTCGAGTCAAACATTGTAAAGTCAAAAAATTGTAAATTAACCCCCAAAGCTCTGCAGATATGGGGTTCCCCGCTTGCACACCAAATGTTTTCCCATCACTGTAAAGCACGTAAATGTTTTTCCCCTCAGTACAAGCACTGTTCTGTCCCCATCACGTACAAGCACTGTATCATGTCACCCCTCAATGTACAAGCACTATCATGTCAACCATCACTGTACAACACTGTATCATGTCACCCATCATTGTACAATCCCTTATGTCACCCCCTCATTGTACAAACAATCAGTCAACCATAAATGTACAAGCACTGTACATTCACCCTCATTTTAAAGCACGTATCATGTCACCCATATTGTACAAGCAGTATATGTCACCCTCATGTACAAGCACTGTACTGTCACCCATCATTGTACAAGACATCTGTCAACCACACTGTACAAGCACTGATCATGTACCCATCACGTACAACACTACATGTCACCTTTATTGTACAAACCTATATGCAACCAAACGTACAAGCACTGTTCATGTCAATCATCATGTAAAGCATGTTCTGTCAACCCCTCACTGTACCACATTGATCATGCACCCTCACTGTAAACATTGTATCTGTCACCCATCACTGTACAAACACTTATATGTCACCCAAGTACAAACATTTTATCATGTCACCCCTCACTGACAAGACTTCTTCATCATCACGTACAACATATCATGTCACCCATCCTGTACAAACTTGCATCATGTCAACCATCACGTACAAACATGCATCAGTCACCCCTCACTGTAATTTTTCATGTCATGTATCACGTACAACATTGTACTGTCCCCCCATCATGTACTTTGTTCATGTTTTCCCTCACTGTACAAAAATTGTATCTGTCACCCCCTCACTGAAAACATTGATCATGTCACCATCACCCGTAAAAACATTGTTCATGTCAACCCTCACTGACAAACATTGTAAACTGTACCCCTCACTGTAAAAACATTTTATCATGCAACCATCACTGTACATTTATCAGTCACCCATCACTGTCAAAAATTGTATCAGTCACCCATCACTGTACAACATTGTTCATGTAACCACTCTGTACAAACATTTTATATGTCAACCATCTTGTACATTTTATCATGTCACCCATCACGTACATTGTATATTCACCCCCTCACTGTACATTGTATCATGTCACCCATCCTGTAAAAACATTTTATTAAGCTGAATAAACATTTAATTTTGTCTGGCCCCTTATGGGGGAGGTTCTGACCTTCATCCAGTTTTCATGGGACAGTCTGGAAAGTTAGTGGGGGTGGTGTGACATTATCATTCATATTACTTTCCCCATGTACGCATTTTTTAATCCCCACAGGTTCATTTGTTAGGATTTAATTCTTCAACGCCTTCACAAGACATCTCACGGGGGCAGCTCCTGAACTATCTCCTGGGCCCCCTGCGGCCCTCCCTGCCTGAAGATGAAAATCAGAAAACCAATGGATTTCGGCATCATGCCCAGCGAAATTTCATAGCCAGTGTCACAAATTGACTGTTTTGCCATCTCTGTGTTGCGGTAATTATGGGCAGGTCCAATGTGCTGTAGGAATCAACTGATTCAATATTTACTGATTATACTAATTATTTGTATTATTATAGCAGTTACTGATAATAAGACTGACAGAACTTATTGTCAGTACAGTACTGCCAGTACAGTATTGCCCATCGTGGAGGGGTATTTGTAATGGCATACCATGAAGGGTGTGTGATGCCCAAGTGCTAAGAACATACCATGAATAATTTATTTATTTATTTATTTAGAAATTTTTAGCATACATACAGAGGTACAAAAAAAATACAGGTAAGAGCAGCATGCCAAAGCCACTTATATGCATAGCATTATGGGCTGGCTTAAAATTAACTTAAGATTAACTAAGCAATGATGAAATCAGTGATAAGACATTATTGTAAACAGATAACTATAAAGCACAAATGAGTATTACAAAGACAGGTCATATGGTTGCATGCATTGCTGTTCATTCAGTAGAATGGAGTATTCTGTTAGCTAGTGTATTTAAAAAAATAACAAAGTTAGATTGGGTCCTAGGTTTAACATTTATGTGATATAATTGTGAGTAACATTTTGGATATACAATTTATAAGGTTCAGTTATTCAGTATTTATTTGGTTTTGAGTGAGTAAGTGAACTTTGAGAAGAGACTTGAATTTGTAAACAGGTAGTGTTTCTTTTATATTTACAGGTAATGAATTCCAGATTTTAGGGCCTTTTATGTGCATTGACTTTTTGCATAGTGTGAGATGGACACGAGGAACATCAAAGAGTGATCTGTGCCTTGTGTTATGGTCATGTGTTTGTTGAGGTTGGCAAGGAGATGTTTGAGGGGAGGGTTAATATCAGAGTTAAGTGTTCTATGTATGTAATAGGTGCAATATAAGTATGGTGTTTTGTATGGTGAGTAGGTTGAGTTTTTTTGAATATTGGTGGAGTGTGTTGCCTGTAGTGAGAATTTGTTATCATTCTAACTGCAGCCTTTTGTTGGGTAATTAGTGGTCTGAGATGGTTAATTGTTGTTGAGCCCCATGCACAAATTCCATAGGTGAATAGGGGTAAATGAGAGTGATAAAGGGCCAGGAGGGCTGACTGTGGAACATAGTACCTTTATCTTCGATAGTATGCCTACAGTCTTGGAAATTTTCTTAGAAATTTATTGTACATGTGTATGAAATTTGAGTCTATTATCGAGGTGGATTCCTAAGAATTTTCCCTCTGTTAGCTTTGTGATAGGTGATCCGTTTATCGTTATGTTAAGAGGTACATCTGTAGCTCTGTTACCAAACTGAATGAAGTAGGTTTTGTCAATGTTTAGTGTAAGTTTGTTAGTCCTCATCCAGGTAGATATTTTCTGTAATTCGGTGTTTACAGTATTGGCTAGCGTGTCATCTGCAAAAAGTGTGGGTTTGAGTAATTGCGAAGCATTTGGTAGGTCATTTATGTATAGGAGAAAGAGAAGAGGGCCAAGGACACTTCCCTGTGGGACACCAACTGTAATTGGTTGTGCGGAAGAGCTTGCCCCATTTGCGTACACATATTGGCTTCTGTTGCTGAGGTAAGATTTGAGGTAGTTGAAGGAGTGCCCTCTAATACCATAGTGTGACAATTTTACGTGGAGCAAGTCATCGTCAACTGTATCAAAAGCTTTACATAAGTCAATGAAGATCCCCAGTGGGACTTCTTTTTTCTCTATTGCAGTGTACATGTATATATGTTCTAGCATGTGTATAATAGCATCATTAGTATTTTTATTAGGCCTGAATCCAAATTGGCAGGGGTTGAGAATGTTTTGGGAGATGAGGTAGGAGTAGATTCGTTTATGAATTAATTTTTCGAAGATTTTTGAGAGAGGGTGTAAATTGGATATTGGCCTATAGTTATTCAACTCTGTTTGGTCTCCTCCTTTATGGATCGGGGTGACCCTTGCTATTTTGAGAACTGTAGGGAAGGTGGAGGATTCAATGGATTTGTTAAAGAGTGTTGCAATGATTGGTGATAGTACTTGTGATGCTTTTTTGTATATAAAGGGTGGTAAGGTATTTAAATCTCCTGCCTTGTTTTTCAGTGCGTTGATAATAAGGGAGACTTCGTATGGGTTGTCGGAGCTAGGAACAGTGTGTTCGGGTAGTTGCCAGTGAGGTAGTCATTTGGTGGGGTATTGAGCTTGGGATTTTATTGGCAAGGTTTTGACCTATAGTGGAGAAGAAATCATTGAGTCTGTTGCTGTTTCTGTTGGTGGGAGTTGGGGTTCATCTGATTTTGCTAATTTTATTTCGCTATGTCGTGATATCTTTTTTGTTCCCAGGGAAATTTTTGATAGGGTCTTCCAGGTCTTTTTTATATCACCTCGTAAGTTGGATAATCTGTTCTCATAATACAATTTTTTTGCCCTTCTTATCAGGCTGGTTAGGATTGACGAGTAACGTTTTGTTTGGTCTCTGGTTATGTGACCCATTCTTTACTGTTTTTCATATCGGTGTTTTGTATTTATGGATTTGAGAATGCTGGGTGTTAGCCAGGGACTGTTCAGTCTCTTAGCTGTCATCTGTTTAGTTTTTTTAGGGCAGTGCTTGTTATAAAGGTATTGGGTCTTCTTTAGAAAATTATTAAAACATTCGTCAATATCTGTATAGATTTCTAGCTCATGTGTGCCAGTCAATGTTTGTTACTGCTGTTGTGAAGTTATTAATGGCTGCCTCATTGTGAAGTCTGAAGGTGACTTTAGTAGTGTCTTGGGGTATTTTACCAAGAGTTGTTATGAGGAAAGTAGGGTAGTGGTCTGTGGTATTATCTGTAATTATGCCTGATTTTAAAGGGGATATGGTGTTGGTCCAGATGTGGTCAAGTAGGGAAGCACTAGTCTCTGTAACTCTTGTAGGTTTTGTTACTGTTGGTAGCAACATGCAGTTACTCATTGTGTTTGTGAATTCAGTAACGTGTGGGTCCTGGTCTTGCAGGAGATTTATATTGGGAAATCACCTGAGAGTTTGTAAGTGATCTTTGTTCATGCGTGCATCAGTTATCATACTTCCTAGGTTTTGACTAAATTGGGCTAATGTTTGATTGTGGAACTCTGTAGATGTTTATCACTGTGAGAGGTTTTTGTAGGTATTTGGATTTGAATTTAGCTATTATATATTCCCCATGTTCATCCCTTGTGCAAGTATTAGTGATACATTCTAGTTGGTCTGAGTAGTATATAGCAGTGCCATCCCCTTGTTGGTCTGGCCTACAGTTGTGTATGGCTGTGTAACCCGGAATGGCACAGACATCTGTAGTATCAGGCTTTAGCGAGGTTTCAGTTAGTGTAATGATGGACATATTGGCATGCAAGGAATTTAGTAATGCTAGGAGGTCATCATAATGCTTGCTTAAAGATCTGATATTGTAGTTAAAGACAGTTATGTTGTTGTTGGCTCTGAAAAGTGCCTTTGATTGTTCTGCTGTGTAGTAATTACAGTAACTGTTTGAATCATTTAAGTCATTAAATAAGAGGTTGGTATCAGGATCAATGCTTGTAATCATAAGATTTGTAGTGATCTATAGTTAGAATTAAGTAAAAAATAAAGTAAATATTTTAAAGCTAAAAAAAAATAGCACCTGAATTATTTAACAAATGTAAAAATAATGAGCTAAGGTAGTTTTTTAAAGCTAAAATAAAGGAGACAATATAAAAGGGACTAAAATAATTTGTGGTGAACAAATAAAGTGATGATCAAATAATGGAGCTTGGGAATATGATAGTAGGTAGTACTTTAAAGGTAATTCTTTAAAGTTAGAATTACAATATAAAATTATAATATAAAAGGGACTAATATAAGTTGTGGTGAACAATAAAGTGGTAATCAAATAAATGAGCTTTGGAGTATAATGGCAAAATAGTGAACTTATTAACTTTAGCACCTGAGAATAGCACCTTGATTATTTTAACAATTGTGAATATATGAGCTAAGGTAGTTATATAAAGCTAAAATAAAGGAAAAAAAAAATATAAGGGACTACAATTAAGTAATGGTAAACAAGTTAAATGGACAGATAGTCACTATGAAATAATATTGGTTTAGGAGTAAGATCTGATTTGTAATATTATATAAGTTGAGCAGTTTATTGCACAATAAAAAGTAAAAAAAAAAAAAAAAAAATGAGGTAGTTGGTACTAGCTAGCAAAGATAGTTTTGGTACTTGCCAAAAAAGTAATTGGAATATACACTAATTGCACACACAATAAAAAGTGAATAAAAAACAAGTAGTGGTAAACAAAATTAAAAGGACAGGTAAGAACAATGAATAATATTAATTTGGAGTAAGATTTGACTTGTAACATAAAATTATGAGCAATTAATAGCAGTAAGAAAGAAGTAAAAAACTATTGGAGGTAGTTAGCATTAGCTTGTGATGAAAAAAATAATAAAAATAATAATGCACAATATAATAGTAAGGTACACTATATGCACCACACGTATATATGTATTAAGGGCACTTATCTAATCTGTTACAGAAATGACAGCTTTTCTAAGGAAGGTAGAGAAATCGTGTTCGTTTGAGATAGTATATTGTTGTCCTGTTGATGTTTTCCTTACTAGTATTTTCCCATCTCGCGTGAAACACTGATGTATTTTGTTTTCCTGTTTAAGTTTTCTCAGCCTGAACAGAAGGTTTTGACGTTTTCTTGTTAATAATAATAATATCTTTATTTTACTACAAGTACATGTACAGGGTATACAGTCCTAGCTGATAACAATGACATACTACTATATAGAAAGTCCCTTGTAATGCTCCGCATTTCGGGCAAATTAGGTCAGTGTCCCAGGATGCGACCCACACAAGTCGACTAACATCCAGTACCCATTTTACTGATGGGGAACATAGACAACAGGTGGAAAGAAACACGTCCAATGTTTCTACTCTGGCTGGAAATCGAACCCAGGCCCTCGCCGTGTGAAGCGAGAGCGTTAACCAGGTGTGTGATACCCAAGTGCTAGGAACATACCATGAAGGGTGTGTGATGCCCAAGTGCTAGGAACATACCATGAAGGGTGTGATGCCCAAGTGCTAGGAACATACCACGAAGGGTGTGTGATGCTCAAGTAGTAGCATACCATGAAGGGTGTGTGATGCCCAAGTATTAGGAGACAAAGACCAAGTCCATTAAGAATGTTGATCATGCCAGCAACTCCAGTATACTTGCCGAACACCACCACATGCTGGCCTTGCCTGTCACACATACGCTCATAGTCCAGCAACCGGATGTTCTGAAAACACAAAATACTGTGAATTTCTCAGCTCACACACTGAGGTCCGGGGGTTGATTCGCGGTACGGGTGGAAACAGTAGGTCGTGTTTCCTTAAGACACCTGCTGTCACTGTTCACCTAGCAGTAAGTAGGTACCTGGGTGTTAGTCACCTTACACCTGCTGTCACTGTTCACCTAGAGTGACCAGTGTGGGTGGCATCCTGGGGGACAAGATCGAAGGACCACAATGGAAATATGTAAGACAGACAGTCCTCGATGACCCACTGATTTTCTTGGGTTATCCTGGGTGGCTAACTCTCCCTACCCTGGGTTATCCTGGGTGGCTAACACTCCCTACCCTGGGTTATCCTGGGTAGCTAACTCTCCTTACCCTGGGTTATCCTGGCTGGCTAACACTCCCTACTCTGGGTTATCCTGGGTGGCTAACTCTCCCTACCCTGGGTTATCCTGGGTAGCTAACACTCCCTACCCTGGGTTATCCTGGGTAGCTAACTCTCCTTACCCTGGATTATCCTGGGTGGCTAACACTCCCTATCCTGGGTGGCTAACCCTCCCCACCCCAGGTTATCCTGGGTGGCTAACCCTCCCCACCCCAGGTTATCTTGGGTGGATTACCCTCCCCACCCCAGGTTATCCTGGCTGGCTAACACTCCCTATCCTGGGTTATCCTGGGTGGCTAACCCTCCCCACCCCAGGTTATCCTGGGTGGCTAACCCTCCCCACCCCAGGTTATCCTGGGTGGCTAACCCTCCCCAGGTAAAAAATGCTAACAAATATTATCTGATCTTACCTTCTCTAAAATAGCATTAAGGAGCGGCATGTTGGCTTCCTGGGCTTTAATAGTGTGAGAGAAGAAACAGTACGTTCTGTTGGGTATAAGCTGATCACTGGGCACCTGCTTCACCCCTATGATCACCGGTGCTTCTGATAGGTCCTCTTGTATCTTGGCTCCCACATTCTGATAGGCCTGTAATGATAAGACTACAGTAGTCTCCCTATATCCATGAGGGATATCTTCCAAGACCTACCATGGATGCCCAAAACCACAGATAGTACCCAACCATATGCACATACAGTGGTACACCGAGTTTTGAACAGCTCCCAACTCGACCAATTATGTAAGTGTATTATAGTCAGTGTCTCTGTAAGTGTAATTTTGGGGTCTGAAACTGACTAATCTAATTTACATTATTCCTTATGGGAACAAATTCATTCAGTAACGGCACTTGAACAGCCTTCTGGAACGAAGGAAGTTTGAAACTCAGGGTACGACTAAGTTGTTTCTCACTTACGTACATACCTATGATGAAGTTTAATTGATAAATTACACACAGTAAGTGAAGAATTATCACTTTTTTACTGATGAGAAGCACTTGATGGCTTGTCTTAGACTCTGAACAACTGCCACCATCACTACTGTCATGTCTTACCAACATTATCAAGCTAAATTAAGGATATGTTCAGGCCACGGTAAACCGTGGATAACCGAAACTGTAGAAACCGAATCTCTGCATACACGGGTTCTACTGTACATAAACATATGAATATAAGAATGGAGGAGCACTGCAGCAGGCCTACTGGCCAATGGAAATAAGTCACTTTGACTTTTTTAGGTTATCCCAGGTTCTTTACACATATGCTGCTAAGTATACCTGGAGATAGTTCCGGGGGTCAACGCTACAAAATTTGTGGCATTATCCGAAATCATCAATCTCGGACAGGATCTCCTAGCTGCAAATTTTCGAAAGTTGTATAAACTGTTCTGCAGACAAGTCCTGTGCCACTTCTAAATGAACTGCCCTAGTAGCAGTACAGGTGAACAAACAAACATACACTTTCAGTGGAACACCATTTGACGTACCTGTTAAAATTATTGGACCACTATAGTCTACACTTATGCCTAGAACAGATTAACTCGGTGGCACTCGATGTATGCACAAGGCTTATTCCTCTAAGAAAAAGGAGGAGTAGATGTAAAATAGAAAGAGACAGGCGCTCCCTTTACAGGCGACGGAAAAGAATAACAGAGCGGCTAAAAGAGGTCAATATATCTGAAATGCGTAGGGAGACACTGGTCAGAGAAATAGCAAGCATCGAACTTAAGCTAAAAGAATCCTTTAGGAGTCAGGAATCGCGGGAAGAACTAAAAGCCATAAATGAAATCGAAAGAAACCCAAAGTATTTCTTCTCCTATGCCAAATCAAAGTCGAGAACAACATCCAGTATTGGGCCCCTACTTAAATAAGATGGATCCTACACAGATGACAGCAAGGAAATGAGTGAGCTACTCAAGTCCCGATATGACTCAGTTTTTAGCAAGCCGCTAACCAGACTGAAAGTCGAAGATCAAAATGAATTTTTATGAGAGAGCCACAAAATTTGATTAACACAAGCCTTTCCGATGTTATCCTGACGCCAAATGACTTCGAACAGGCGATAAATGACATGCCCATGCACTCTGCCCCAGGGCCAGACTCATGGAACTCTGTGTTCATCAAGAACTGCAAGAAGCCCCTATCACGAGCCTTTTCCATCCTATGGAGAGGGAGCATGGACACGGGGGTCGTCCCACAGTTACTAAAAACAAGACATAGCCCCACTCCACAAAGGGGGCAGTAAAGCAACAGCAAAGAACTACAGACCAATAGCACTAACATCCCATATCATAAAAATCTTTGAAAGGGTCCTAAGAAGCAAGATCACCACCCATCTAGAAACCCATCAGTTACACAACCCAGGGCAACATGGGTTTAGAACAGGTCGCTCCTGTCTGTCTCAACTATTGGATCACTACGACAAGGTCCTAAATGCACTAGAAGACAAAAAGAATGCAGATGTAATATATACAGACTTGTGTTCTCTTGTGTTCTATATATTAAAAAATCACTTCCCCATCAACTTCTTGCACACAAGAAAACAGAGGGGCTACAATATCACGGTGTTAGGATTTATATAGGGAACTCTGCTCTCAACATATTTAACTTGTATGCTCCTGCTGATAAATTTAATTACTTGGAGCTCCCAACTTGTGCTCATTCTGAGCCTACTCTTATTATTGGCGATTACAATGCGAGACACAAAAGCATTGGAAACTCACAGTTTGGTAATCGTAATGGCAATCAACTGTTGTCACTCTTAAACAGTCATGATAATGTCCAAATTGTAGGTGACCTTGAACCACACATATTATGGAGGCGTCCTTGATCTGTGCCTGGGCTTCAACATTACTTCTGCCAGCTGTGAGTCTTCCATTGTAACAGATATAGCGTCTGATCATTTCCCTAGGCTAACCTCTCTAGATATTGGTAAATACTATCCTTCCTGGTGGATATTCAAACGGAAACGTTTTAATGTTCCCACAGATCAGCATGATGACTTTGTTGCACATGTGACCGACTGGTATAATTCCTATGAGTGTTCCTCTGTAGAGACCTTTAACAATGATCTTGTGAGCAGTATTCAGAACTGCTTAGAGCCGCCACTGCAACCTCTTGGTACTCTAAACCCAACAAACTTCCATAATAATCGTACCTCCTTCAAAAACCATACTTATTACAATGATTCTAAACTTCGTACACTGAAACGTACTGCTCGCAGACTAGGCCTAGCCTATAGAAAACATCGTACCCCTGGAATGCTGAGGCTCTTCCAAACTGCCCTTGCTGCTGCCAGAGAGCGTATGACAGAGCTGCGGCAAACCGACTGGGAAAAATTTGTCAACGGTCTTAATGCTCACACCCCACTTAGCCGGGCATGGAGGGACATAAATAGAATTAAGGGTAACCGAACTGGGCAGATCGCGCACCCTCATCCCTTGCATAGGGCGAATGAGTTAGTCAGTGCTTGGGCTGCTACATCTAGCTATGACAATCTTCCCAGTACCACACAGGCAAAATTAAATGACAAATATGATGCAAGGGAGAGACTTGTTTGCTTAATGCTCAGTAAGGCAGATGATTGCAACATTCCTTTCACTAATTATGAACTTGATGCAGCGCTAACTAAGGGCAACTCCACGTCGAATGGTGAGGATGGTATTACTTACAACATACTCAGATTGCTGTGTCGAGTACCAGGTAATCCATTACTTGAATTATATAACATGAGCTATGTAACTGGGGAGCTCCCTCAATCTTGGACCAACAGCCTCATCATTCCAATTCCTAAGCTCAATCAACAAAATGCATTTCGCCCAATATCTCTTACTAGCTGCTTGTGTAAAACATTTGAGAGAATGATTCTTAATCGTCTCATGTACAGAATCAAACAATTTTTGTCTCCCCGGTTACATGGTTTCATGCATGGAAGGAGCGTGCATCATTGCATAGCCACCTTTCTCACCCTGCACACTGATAGCTCCTACACTACCTTCCTTGACCTTAAATCCGCTTTCGATGTAGCCAACCGACATGTAATAATTAGTGACTTGCCAGAATGGATGTTGGAGGATGGCTTCTTCCGCTGGATTAAAGGCTACCTGTCCAACAGAAAATCGTCTGTGTTGTTCCAGGGACATAGAAGTGTAACTAAAGACTTTGAATTAGGAACCCCACAGGGAGGTGTGCTCAGTCCCACACTGTTCAATATTCTAATTAATGCATTACTTAATGCTATGCCTAGTCAGCCCCATAATTATGTGATTAGTTTTGCTGATGATATAATGATTCACACCACCGGATTCTCCAACACCCAAAACATTCTTAATCATGTACTAGCCTCGTGTCAGGACCTGGGGTTGATAATCTCTACTGATAAAACAAAGATACTCAATAGGCGTCCTCCTCGACAGAGAGGCACAGTTCGTCAGATCCAATTGCATGATGGGTCTCTTCTAGAATATGTAAGCAGATACAGGTATCTAGGCTTTGAGGTTCCACTACTTGGACCTGTTGTAACAAGACTTTGTCGCCAATACAAAGAACGACTAAGAGCACTTAGAGTTGTGGCAGGGCTTCAGCCCAGGTGTGGTGCTAATGTTAAAGTTGTGAAAATGATGTATCTTGCTTATATTAGATCATTGGTTGATTATGCTGCGCCACTACGTGCTCTTGTGTCTGACTGGAAGCTTGGAGGGCTGGAAAAACTGCAGAACGAAGCAATGAGGATCATCCTAGGATGCCCTCGTACTGCCAAAATTTTAAATATGCAAAAAGAACTTGATATTCCAAGCATCAGAGATCGTGTTACTGAAAGAAATATCCTAATTGGGGTTAATATGCTCAGGCAAGCTCATTCAAACCCCTGCACAGAAACCCTCCAAACTTTCCTCAGCACTGGTGAACACTCCTCCAGATGGATCGAAAAGACTGGAACCGACCTCCGCATGAATCAGATACATGATCTATGTCAAGTAAGGCAACAGCGGCACTTCTCCGCTCCATGGAATATTACCCCATTCCAAACTACCATTCCTCCATTTCCCCCCAAACTACTTCTTAAATCACAACCAAAACTTCGCCTTGAAGCCAAACATGAGGCCTTAAGCTGTATTGATAACTTAGTCACACAGCACACACTCTCGCAAATTATTTACGTTGATGGTCTGTTCACCAATCCACTGGTGCAGCTGGTAGTGCTGCTGTTGTCGTACAGAGTGATGGCTCTCTTAAAGAAATTGGAGCACGCATCAATAATTGGGCCTCTACCCTTCAGACAGAACTGTTTGCCATACTCCTTGCACTGAAATGCATCTATTTATCAAAGATTGACAGTTTAATTGTAACTGATTCTCTGTCATCCATAAATGCTCTCAACTCATTAAGCATAAATTGTGGCATGCTTGTGTCAGAAGCCAGACACAGGTATGGTAGGATGTGGACAGTGGAGTCAGAGTGCACATGCTGTGGATTCCATCTCACATTGGTCTTCAGATGCATGATAGAACTGATAAATTGGCTAAGCTGTATGCTTTCAAAGAGGGAGTAGATTACAATCTTGGCTTGTCAGGTAGTAGTTTGAGAACAATAATACGAAAAGAACTTCAGCTGAATTTTATGGACTTAGGCTCAGGGAGATTGACACAGTGAGTCCATCTATCATCATTCTATCATGCAGGAGGAGCCACATGTCTATGGTGCATCCAACAAAATAAGCAGACTCTTGGATGTCACTACCGCCCGGCTCCGGCTGGGTTACAAGTATCTTTGGCAGGTTAAATCACCACCACCAGATGTAGACCAAACGAAATGTAAACTTTGCCAGATGGATTACTGTCACACCCTGCATCATTATGTACTGGAGTGCGATAAAATTAATGAATTTAGAAACACCTCACTCAGAAGTGTTCAAGAAATGGCTAAGTATTTTATCCACAGTGGTATATTACAGACCATTCTGGAGAAATACCCTGACTTTGCTAGCTGTAAATAAAGCATTACCACATATGTGCATGTGTGTGTGTGTGTGTGTGTGTGTGTGTGTGTGTGTGTGTGTGTGTGTGTGTGTGTGTGTGTGTTTGTGTGTATGTGTATGAGTGTACTCACCTAATTGTGGTTGCAGGGGTCGAGACTCAGCTCCTGGCCCCGCCTCTTCACTGATCGCTACTGGATCCTCTCTCTCTCTGCTTCCTGAGCTTTGTCATACCTCTTCTTAAAACTATGTATGGTTCCTGCCTCCACTACTTCACTTGCTAGGCTATTCCACTTGCTGACAACTCTATGACTGAAGAAATACTTCCTAACGTCCCTGTGACTCGTCTGAGTCTTCAGCTTCCAGTTGTGACCCCTTGTCCCTGTGTCCCCTCTCTGGAACATCCTATCTCTGTCCACCTTGTCTATTCCCCACAGT